TCCTTACATCAGACGATGCAGTCCTCGCTCTTCTTCCACCTTTCACTATGTTAGTCGCACCTTATATGGGCATCACGTGTTAGTCTTACCTTATATGGGCATCACGTGTTTGTCTTACCACTACACGTTACTTTACCAACTAGGCGATCAGATTATAACAATATGTTCAATTTTATTGGGGGTTGTAATAAGGAGGGGGGGGTTGTAATAAGGAGGTGGGGGTTGTAATAAGGGGGCGGATGTAATATTGGCGGGGCGATTGTAATAGGGGCAGGGTGGTTGAAATATAGGTGGGGTGGTTATTTGTTGTTTGGGGACCGGTTTTTGGTACACCGGCCAATGTTTACAAAATCATATGATACATAAAAATATAATTCTATTTAATATACGTGAATATGAGGATTGAAAATTATGATGTACAAAATTATAAAAAAATATTTTTATGAATAAACGATAAATCGTTTATTCATAAAAATATTTTTAAAAAAAAACCAAAACTTTAAAAATTAAAACTTGCATATATCATGATTTATTAACACTAGGAAGAACCCGTCTAACCCTATGTGGTGTCAAGACTCAAGAGACTAAAATAAGTATTATTTATTTAATTCGCGTTTTTGACACCACTTGGGGGTCCAAATTTTGGGCACTAAAATTCTTATTCTTTGGCCAATTTTTTATTTTTTCATGCTGATTTGAAGGCCATTAAAGCATTTTTTTTTAAACATTTTTTTTTTAAACATTTTTTTTGAACATTTAAAATATAATTTGGAACATTACAGTAACGTTATTCAAATCTCAAACAGAAAAGAGTATATTTCAAAGCTTTGTGTTTTGATCATATGATTATGGGTGTATAGTGATTTTAATTGCATAAATTTGATTGGGCAGTGATGGTGAGTGAGAAGATGATGGGAGTGCCAGCCAGTAACTCTGTCAAATGAACAGCCCACTGATGAGTGGGTGAGCGCAAGCGCGAGAACGGCAGAGAGGGTGGCATAAAACGGAATACACGGCCACAGAAAAGACACAGAAACTAAACCGTGCGCGGTAAGTTAGCCAGTGTCTGAGAGCTAGTGTTGCCCGGCAGGAGGCATCCAAAAGAGGTGCCGTGGTGAACTGTGGTGGCAAAGTTCGAATGCAAGGCGAGGCAACTCTAACTGATGATGAAGAGGTAGACTGAACGGGAAGTAAAGAAAAAGGAAAAGGAAGGATCCAGCTGGAGTCTGGCTCATGTCAGGAAGTGATGAAAAGCTCACAGACAAAATCATCCGTGGCTGTCTACCCCGTACGTAGGCAGTGTCCGAGATTTCAGGCATCAGGATACACTGAAACAGTGCAGAGCTGATTACGACCAGGGTCCTCACGGATACCCCGCCTCGGAGGTCGAGCCAATGCCCTGCTTTCGATACTAATGTCTACTGGTAGCTTTGGTACCATGCGAACGAAATTTTGTCCTTCAAAAATGATGAAAACATCGAATTTTGCCTGCAAAAATCGAAATTTCGTATTTTTAACCCAATTTTTATTGGATCTGGCCCCTAACTCCATATAATAATGATGAAAAACAATGTTTATGGTTTTAGACATGTTTAGAGATTATTATTCTAGTTTACATGCGACCAATTCATCCATTAATTCTTATCCTATTGAATTTTATTCATAAATTTCATACCAATTTGGTGTATATGATTCAAAATATCTCAAAAACTAAAAATGATAGCCCCTTAATTCTTTTTTTGTTAGAAAATTCAGATTATTTCTGATCAGATCAGGCTAAACTTATCTGGAAAGCAAATATCACCCAAAATACTTTTTGCAGCCTCTGGGCACACTGTGTGGTGGAACCTTCATATTTTCTCTACTAGCAGTCACTGTAACCCTATCACTCGGAAGGCCCCACAGCTCCTACATGGACGCACGGCCGGGAGCCCATGTAGGGATAAAAGTGAACGCAAGCCTTCCATCACATCCGTCACAGATTCAAAGCTGGGAGGAAAAAGGGAGGAGAGGAAAAAGGAAGAAAGAATAAAAAAAAGAAAACCGAGAAAGTAAACTAATTATCTGCTTTCAGACTGTCTTTGAAGTTGAGGGTTACTGAGATTTTGAAATTTGTCCCTAGGACCTTTCCCTAGGGGGCAGAAATGGAGCATATGATTTGAACCAGTCAAAAAAGTTTAAGTTGTATATCATTCACGGTTTTTGCGGAAAGTTGTGTTAAAGTTGATGCCGTGGTGCAGTGTCAGTAAAATGGTTCGGATATAATAAGATAGTGACAAATAATTTTATTTGATTCGACAGATGATCACACGCACTGTAATAGGGACGGGGTGGTTGTAATAGGGACTGGGTGGTTGTAATAAGTGAATAAGAGCTCCCTCCATGTTTAAAAGCCTAGAGACAGTGAAAACCGTAAAGTGTTGCGCACAATGTGCATAATAAACCCATAATAAATTAGCCATTATAAAGCCATTCTATCCACAATTCACTGATAACCGCCCAACATACAAGTGTGTGGGTGTGGGTGTGGGTGTGGGTGTGGGTGTGGGTGTGGGTGTGGGTGTGGGTGTGGGTGTGGGTGTGGGTGTGGGTGTGGGTGTGGGTGTGGGTGTGGGTGTGGGTGTGGGTGTGCGCACGACTTCAGCTCATGTGTTCAAAACCTTGTTGTGTTGTCACAATGTTGCATTTAGATCCATTTCTACTGAATTAATGTACTGTCTGCTAGCTAAGATCTAAATGTACCTTTTTAGCATTACTTTCTTCACGAAAAATGAAGCATTTTCGACGAATTAACCCAATATATTTTAAATTTCCACTTTAATTTTCCAATAATTCCTTTCTGGTCCAGCATTCTTTGACCATTACGAAATTTGACAAAATTTCGGAGAGGACGAAAACATTTTTCAAAAACCCAACTTAAAACCTGTTAAATAAAAGGGTGTTGTAGAAGGTGCAAATTGTTAGCATTGGTGAATCACCATGGTGATGTATATATGCCTCTTATAAGGTCTTACTATATATTCCTGTTAATATTCTCGAATGCTCACTTAAACCCTCTTTCCGGTGACTGGAATTTTAGTTACTCCGCCAGCAACCCATATCACACACGTCCCACATATATAACATTTAATTTACACAGTGAATATTCACAATAATTATGAGTAATATTACAATAATTACAGCGTGTTTTATTAGCGCACGGTACAGAGCTTTTCTGCAGAAATACAGATATATTTCAAGTTTAAAATTGTGAAACATTTACTTGTCACCTTCCCACCGGTGGTTTGTAGATAAAATTGGAGAAGAGTATTAGTAGAGGCACATTGAGTAGATTTTTAGGATTTTAGGAAATTCACGTCATCTCCTCACTGACCCACATCCAGAAACACGCCATCTTGCCAGGCAGCCTGGGAGGAAATTTTTTTTTGGGAGGAAAAACGGGAGAAAAAGAGGAAATTTTTGAGAAGTTACTCCTAAATTTCGAAATATTTTTTAGGAATGAAGACAAATTAATTGAGGATATAAAATTTACGTGAGTACTTGATTCTTTTCAATCCCAGTTTATTGCTGTCCTACAAATTTCTTTAATGCCAAATGCCGTCTAAAACACCCTATTTCGCAAAAAATTTCCGGGGGGGGGCTGCGCCCCCTAGCCCCCGCCAAGGGGCTTCGCAGAAAGTCGTGTTAAAGTTGATGCCGTGGTGTCAGTAAAATGGTACGGATATATATTTCGATATACATATATATTATATCGTCTCGATTTATATATAGTAAGAAGTCTGTTTGTACTAGAGCTTTCTTTACCGGTCCAATACATGTCTGAAAGCCGTATATTACACAGAACACAGGTGAGTGTGACGGTGTGTGAGATTGTGAGGATACAGGCTACTGAGGAATGTAATGACATTTAATAACCATGGCAACTACTACTCTAACTCCTCCGGCTTTAGTATTCAGCACATTGTTCAGGGTCATTTGCTGCGTCATGACACGTGCAAATACGACGTCCGCGAATTCGAAATAGAAGGTGAATTTTGCTTTTTAAAATATGGTGAGCTGAATATAACAGTAAGCGTGACAAATTCTGCTTTCACATTGAAGCATTACCGGAATGAGTCACGAGGTGGTATGACAAGGAAGCCTGAAACTGTACCTATAGTACGCCGCGCTAAATCACTGACAATGATCCCACAAATCCACTGTTCAGTCTAATCGGGTTATCATATTATTCCACTGTATTTTATGCAGAGCACGCTTGTGTTGAATACCGTAATTAGGGGGGCTATCTCCGGCATCATTCCGCGGTATTCCGGCACTTTCCGGCATTCTTCCCGCGGTATTCTCCACTCATACATCCCACACACAGCAGCCTCTAAGTAGAAATTTTGTTAAAGTATTATGTTACACGACCCACTCTCTCTCTCCTCTCCTCTCTCTCTCGGCTGTAGAGTGTTGACAATTTATAACATTCCTGTGCTTTTAATTTGTACTCGAACGTTCAGTCGTACGCCAGCTTTTTTGAGTTTTGAACGATATTTTATTATTTCCGTACATTTTGTAGCAGTTTGAGCGGTGGTAGTTCTGCGGTGGAGTAGGATCTGTGATGATATACTATACACAATATATTGTGAGTCGCAGATTGAAGGGGGAGGGGTGAAATGGGCGGATATCCTGCACATTCCATCGTCACTAGCTGGAGCGAGTGCGGGCAGGAAGCAGCTGTTAATGGCTTTTATTGAGCCTGTGATTAGGCCATTAGGGCTTTATTGAGCCTGGGCAGAGGGTGATATCGGGTTGAAATGAAGAGACATCAAATGTTCTGGCTTTATCTAGTTTAGAATGGGCTACAAGCCCAATCTACCGAGTACCGGGGGGGGGGGGGGAGGGGGGGGGGGCTCCCTCTCTACCCCCATACCCTGTATTACCTGGATCACATCCCAATATAATAGGCACCCCAACACCCCCTCTCATATACCCCCCTAACACCCCCTCCCTCTCAGGTACCCCAGCCCATGATGGGCCAGCAGCCGCGTCCACCAGCCCAGCAGCCAGGTCTACAACAACAGTACATCCAGCAGTTCCCGGGGCAGCAGGTGCACGGTGTGATCACCTCTCAACATGCTCAGGTGAACAACACTAACCAACAGAGACCACAGTTCCAGTACTCTCAGCAGCAGCCTCAGCAGCCTCAGCAGCAACAGCAGGGAAACTATCAGGATATGATTCCTATCTCTCAGGTTCAAGAAATGATTCCTATCCCTCAAGTGCAGCCCATTAATACTAACGTAAGTCATTCTTACTTCTGACTTGCTGATTGATCTAGTGTAGTTGTCATGGTAACTAGTGTAGTTGTCATGGTAACTAGTGTAGTTGTAATGGTAACTAGTGTAGTTGTCATGGTAACTAGTGTAGTTGTCATGGTAACTAGTGTAGTTGTCATGGTAACTTTGCTGATTGATCTAAGATCTTACGATGGTTTGGAGAACCCAATAAATTATTCAATAACCAAATTAATGATAACCTGCTATTCTTTTAAAGATAACTTTACTCGCCATTTCAGTTCTATTTAATTGTAACACGTCCTAATTTCAGAACATGTATTTTAACATGCAGACCCAGTTCCGAGCTAGCAACCCTCCTACAGCTCCGGCAAATCACCAAGTTGTCCAGCTTACCACTCAGCCTCAGTACATGATAATCCAACAACAACAACAGCAACAACAACAGCAACAACAGCAGCAACAACAGCAACAACAACAACAACAACAACAACAACAACAACAACAACAACAGCAGCAGCAGAGTAACCGGCCCATTGCTCAACAGTTTGCATCGAGGAACGAACAGTACGCTGTAGTACCCCCTCAGTACTTGGTATGTCTTGTAGTACCCCCTCAGTACTTGGTATGTCTTGGCACTCGGCCAAGTTGCTTTCAACTTTTAAACCCACATCTTTTGTTAAATAGTGAAAGTAGAAAAGTCTAGAAAAGTCAGGTTGTAATATTTACAGAGGTGTACTGCACTGGCCCGGACCGTGCCTAGTGATAGTGTCTTATTACACTGATTACGCATTAGGGGGTCGGGGTACACATCAAGGTAAGGTACCAGCAGTTCTAGCAGTGAGCAGTTCTAGAAGATACGCAGTGGTACTGACTGCAGGCTCTACCCTAGCCTGTATCTCTCTAGAAGGTACGCAGTGGTACTGACAGCAGGCTCTACCCTAGCCTGTATCTCTCTAGAAGGTACGCAGTGGTACTGACTGCAGGCTCTACCCTAGCCTGTATCTCTCTAAAAGGTACGCAGTGGTACTGACTGCAGGCTCTACCCTAGCCTGTATCTCTCTAGAAGGTACGCAGTGGTACTGACTGCAGGCTCTACCCTAGCCTGTATCTCTCTAGAAGGTACGCAGTGGTACTGACTGCAGGCTCTACCCTAGCCTGTATCTCTCTAAAAGGTACGCAGTGGTACTGACTGCAGGCTCTACCCTAGCCTGTATCTCTCTAAAAGGTACGCAGTGGTACTGACTGCAGGCTCTACCCTAGCCTGTATCTCTCTAGAAGGTACGCAGTGGTACTGACTGCAGGCTCTACCCTAGCCTGTATCTCTCTAGAAGGTACGCAGTGATACTGACTGCAGGCTCTACCCTAGCCTGTATCTCTCTAAAAGGTACGCAGTGGTACTGACTGCAGGCTCTACCCTAGCCTGTATCTCTCTAGAAGGTACGCAGTGGTACTGACTGCAGGCTCTACCCTAGCCTGTATCTCTCTAGAAGGTACGCAGTGGTACTGACCGCAGGCTCTACCCTATCCTGTATCTCTCTAGAAGGTACGCAGTGGTACTGACTGCAGGCTCTACCCTATCCTGTATCTCTCTAGAAGGTACGCAGTGGTACTGACTGCAGGCTCTACCCTAGCCTGTATCTCTCTAGAAGGTACGCAGTGGTACTGACTGTAGGCTCTACCCTAGCCTGTATCTCTCTAGAAGGTACGCAGTGGTACTGACTGCAGGCTCTAACCTAGCCTGTATCTCTCTAGAAGGTACGCAGTGGTACTGACTGTAGGCTCTACCCTAGCCTGTATCTCTCTAGAAGGTACGCAGTGGTAGGTAGTGAAGGTAGCCTGTATCTCTCTAGAAGGTACGCAGTGGTACTGACTGCAGGCTCTAACCTAGCCTGTATCTCTCTAGAAGGTACGCAGTGGTACTGACTGTAGGCTCTACCCTAGCCTGTATCTCTCTAGAAGGTACGCAGTGGTACTGACTGCAGGCTCTACCCTAGCCTGTATCTCTCTAGAAGGTACGCAGTGGTACTGACTGCAGGCTCTACCCTAGCCTGTATCTCTCTAGAAGGTACGCAGTGGTACTGACTGTAGGCTCTACCCTAGCCTGTATCTCTCTAGAAGGTACGCAGTGGTACTGACTGCAGGCTCTACCCTAGCCTGTATCTCTCTAGAAGGTACGCAGTGGTACTGACTGCAGGCTCTACCCTAGCCTGTATCTCTCTAGAAGGTACGCAGTGGTACTGACTGCAGGCTCTACCCTAGCCTGTATCTCTCTAGAAGGTACGCAGTGGTACTGACTGTAGGCTCTACCCTAGCCTGTATCTCTCTAGAAGGTACGCAGTGGTACTGACGTCTCAGAAGGTACGCAGTGGTACTGACTGCAGGCTCTACCCTAGCCTGTATCTCTCTAGAAGGTACGCAGTGGTACTGACTGCAGGCTCTACCCTAGCCTGTATCTCTCTAGAAGGTACGCAGTGGTACTGACTGTAGGCTCTAACCTAGCCTGTATCTCTCTAGAAGGTACGCAGTGGTACTGACTGCAGGCTCTACCCTAGCCTGTATCTCTCTAGAAGGTACGCAGTGGTACTGACTGCAGGCTCTACCCTAGCCTGTATCTCTCTAGAAGGTACGCAGTGGTACTGACTGTAGGCTCTACCCTAGCCTGTATCTCTCTAGAAAGTACGCAGTGGTAGGTAGTGAAGGTAGCCTGTATCTCTCTAGAAGGTACGCAGTGGTACTGACTGTAGGCTCTAACCTAGCCTGTATCTCTCTAGAAGGTACGCAGTGGTACTGACTGCAGGCTCTAACCTAGCCTGTATCTCTCTAGAAGGTACGCAGTGGTACTGACTGCAGGCTCTACCCTAGCCTGTATCTCTCTAGAAGGTACGCAGTGGTACTGACCAGGTAGGCTCTACCCTAGCCTGTATCTCTCTAGAAGGTACGCAGTGGTACTGACTGTAGGCTCTATCCTAGCCTGTATCTCTCTAGAAGGTACGCAGTGGTACTGACTGTAGGCTCTACCCTAGCCTAGGTATCTCTCTAGAAGGTACGCAGTGGTACTGACTGTAGGCTCTACCCTAGCCTGTATCTCTCTAGAAGGTACGCAGTGGTACTGACTGCAGGCTCTACCCTAGCCTGTATCTCTCTAGAAGGTCCGCAGTGGTACTGACTGGATGCTCTACCATAGCCTGTATCTCTCTATGCAGTGGTACTGACTGGATGCTCTATCCTAGCCTGTATCTCTCTATCTTGGCACATCTCCAACTATATTAATATCTTAGTGCAGTGAAACTTTACAAGATATGATATTTTGATCTAGTTGGCACGTACAAGATATTATCTAGTTGGCAGATACAGGATAGAATTTAATTGGCAAGTTTCCAACCAGATCACTATCATGGTATACAAGTAGTTGACGGTATCTTGGTACTAGACACTAGACTATTGGTCTGGTGACTAAGGGGTTAAACCGCGGCCTTAAAAATCTTACCACGTCAGAAAAATGAAATTACGATAGAATTATACCAAAAGCTCGGAATCTAAACCTCTACTGAGCTGAGGTTGAGCTGGTGATTTATTGGCACATGTCCAACTAAATGTGGTTTATTATTGGCACATGTCCAACTAAATGTGGTTTATTATTGGCACATGTCCAACTAACACTCCCTCTCCCCCAGAACACGTCCCTGCAGCAGCTGAGACAGGTACAACAGCCCCGCTATGTGCAGCAACAAGTCCACCAGCAGAGACTCAACACCCAGTACCAGGCCCAGGCCGGCCCTGCTCAACATCAGACTGGTATGTCACTTATTTACTGGCCAGAGGGGGGGGGGGGGGGGGTAAAATTCTGCTGGAGATGAAAAAGTAGGAAAAAACGCATGTAAAACTTAAACTCAAAAAAGTTGAGCCTCAATTTTTGGAAAGGACTGGCCTCTGTTCTTGAAATATGAGGTTAACACCCAGGACCTGAGAATTGGCACCTTGGGCTGCTACTCACAATCATTATTTACAGAAATTTGCCTCTGTTCTTGAAATATGAGGTTAACTTTGAACCAAATAACGAATTTTCATATATTAATATCCCACTTCAGCCCCAGATTCGCTGTCAATAGATAACAAGATAGATAACAAGAACAACATCTCAACCCCTGATGTGATCAGTATTATCCTGGGATCTCCTAACACTACACCAATGCTGAAGAAGGGGGACAAGGTCGGGGACCCTTTCAACACTCAACACCCAGGTGGTCCTAAAGAGGAACCGCAGCTCAATCAGGTTTACATCCACATAATTTTAGGTTTATCCACTCCGATGTACACATATTCCTTGAGATATACACATATTCCTTGAGATATACACATATTCCTTGAGATATACACATATTCCTTGAGATATACACATATTCCTTGAGGTATACACATATTCCTTGAGATATTTACTTATCCTCATTTATAGAATACTGAAAGTACTAAATGCTTCATCTAACATTCTAACAACCTCTCCTAACAACCCCTCCTAACAACCCCTCCTAACAGCCCCTCCTAACAACCCCTCCTGACAACCCCTCCTAACAACCCCTCCTAACAACCCCTTATAACAACCCCTCCTAACAGCCCCTCCTAACAACCCTCCTAACAGCCCCTCCTAACAACCCCTCCTAACAACCCCTCCTAACAACCCCTCCTAACAACCCCTTCTAACAACCCCTCCTCCACCAGTACAACAGGTACAACTCCAACCAGACAGACAGGCGAATGCTGGAGAGACAAGTGCTGGACAGACAGGTTGGCGAGAAGCCAGCAGACAGACAGATGTCAGCAGATGACTGGCTGGGTGCCAATATGCCGCAGGTACCACCCCCACACAGTAGGTCGTACTTGTAGTGTTATATGGTCCCGCTGTGCACGTGGTGCCCATATTAGGAGCGGTCCCCGCTGTCTGCTGTTACATGGTCCCCGCTGGTTACATCCACCAAACTTAGTGTCACTATAAATTAATGGTTACACCCTGTACACAGTACACTACAATATCCGCCCACCTAACTTACTGTCACTATACATTTTAAACTCATAGCTTGAAAAAATAGATGCGGAGAATGAGGGCGACAACAGGCAACGTTACGCCACTCAGCTCTGTTAACCTTAGAATCACTATGTAGTCTTCTTAAAGCCTTTTAAACCCTGGCTTAAGGAAATAGATTCGAGAAGGATCGGTATTAGTAAGTTTGTGCAGTAGTTCTATAGTAAGTGGGTGGCACGAGATGTCAGAACTCTTGGAAGGAAGGAATGTTTTAGGTTACTGATCTGTACTCACTGTGACACGAGATGTCAGAACTCTGGAAGGAAGGTAGTCATAGTACTATAGTCATGGTACTGTAGTCATGGTACTGTAGTCATGGTACTGTAGTCATGGTACTGTAGTCATGGTACTGTAGTCATGGTACTGTAGTCATGGTACTGTAGTTATAGTACTGTAGTCATTGTACTGTAGTCATGGTACTGTAGTCATGGTACTGTAGTCATGGTACTGTAGTCATGGTACTGTAGTCATGGTACTGTAGTTATAGTACTGTAGTCATGGTACTGTAGTAATTGTACTGTAGTCATGGTACTGTAGTCATGGTACTTTAGTCATGGTACTGTAGTCATGGTACTGTAGTCATGGTACTGTAGTCATGGTACTGTAGTCATGGTACTGTAGTCATGGTACTGTAGTCATGGTACTGTAGTCATGGTACTGTAGTTATAGTATGATCCTCTACATTAATACTTGTCACAAGTAACTTGTGAGGGAACTATTTCCGTTCACCAAATGCAAACTCTGTCAGACTGTCCTGTCCAGTGTCCATTACCATGTACTGTATTATAAGAGTTACAGCTGTTTAACGTTCTGTGCTGGTTCTGTTTCGTTTCATAACGCTGGTCCCACATAATATTGATATTAATTGTGTTTCATATTGTTTCACAAAACAAACCAACAAAATATGTCTAATTTATGCTGTTACTTTTCCGAAATATGCGACCAAAAACTTTGTTTAATATTTCTCAATAGTCCCTAACCTTACTCCCACCCTCAGGATCTCCTAACGCCTGATACGGCTCATTTCTCTAAACTAGTCACCCCCGGCGGAGAAAGCGTATTTGAGTTTTCCAACGACCATCTCCTGCAAAACTCGTGCAACAACGACCAGCTGTTGCTAGGTAACCGTCCTGCTACCTCGCAGGGCTGCGATGTGACCACGTGGGCAGTCACGTGACGGTGACCTGGTCTAGGGACTTCTTCTGTGTGTGGTGACTGCTGTACTGGTAGAGCAGTCCTCGTGCTCTCTCATCAAAGGACCGATCTCATTGTACCATCGAGGTGTTGCTAGGTTACCGCCCTTCTCAACTGTTTCATTTCTACGCCGTGTTCTGTACGTCCCCGGGTTTTGTCCGTTAAAAGACGAGGCCAGCGCGAAGAGCTAGGATTGGTTTCTTATTTGCTAATAAGTTTGCGTTAATTCTCTTCATTAATCATGTTGTCTGGAGAGGGACTATGTGACTTGTAGACTCTTTCAAGTACAATGGTAACCATGACTACAAGTACAATGCTCATGTTTTTCCCTAGGACTCATCGATTTCTTCTTAACAATTGTTTGTTTCATATTGACAATCAGCTATGTGTGCTTCATAGTGGCAAAAAAGCCATACTTATGTGTCATATTGGCAAAGAGCCAAATGTGCATCATAATGACAACTTAGTGTCTCATAATCTTGCTAGGGTTTTGTGTAAGCGTGTAAGATGTGTGTCACCGAAACTCTCTCGTACACATATTACAGGTGATATGTTTGTAGTCTTATAGCTGTCTTCGTGAGCTGCTTTTTATTTCACGAACCTCGTGAGTTCCCCGGCGGAAGATGTCACTACTGGCAGGAAGACACCGCGCATTCAGTTTGACACGTGCAGGGAGACGCCGCGCATTCAGTTTGACACGTGCAGTTTTTTACTACGTGTTGTTTTATACCACGTGATAGCTCCAAAACAATACGAATACAACCGATTAAGTGTGCACTGTCAGATGGCTCTTTTCAGTGTGAATCTGCACCGTCTCCCTGGCAACCGTCTCCCTGGCAGTAGCGACATCTTTTAAAGTGTGGGGTGTTTTAAGGGATTATATCTTTTTAACTTTTTAAATAGCGCTAAATTATGTTCGCTTCCCGAGTCGTGTTTTTACGTCCGCTCACCCTATAGAATGTAGAATACGTAGTGGCCCCCTTTTGGTGAAAGCTTATAAGTTTTAGTGAGGCATGATTCTTCTCGACAAGGTTAACAAAAAGTAATTTAAATTAACAGCAAAACTATATTGTATACTATTTGCCATTTTTTAGAAGTTTTAGTACAATTATTTAACTTGTTTAAAGATTTTGTGAAGTTGTAAACGTGTCTAGAAGAATCGTCACCCCACGTTATTTGATGTACAGAATATGTTGTGTAAAATTGTTTTTACGTAGAACTCAGGTAGAATAATATAATATGATATAAGGGCCCCCAATATAATATAAGGGCCCCCAGCTTGGCTGCTGATAATTGTGGCGCCATTTTGATTGTCATTTAATTGATAATACAATTTAGCTCAATGTGCAAAATGTAAATAAATCATGTTTAAGTAATTTCCACAGTACCCGTAAAATTATATAATGATAGAGAATATTGATCAAGTTGTTTAAATTATCTTCGAATGGAAGTAAAGATTAAACAATCATAGTTTAACATTGTTGTTTTCTGCAAACATTTGGATGTCGAGTTTTATGTACAATTTAAAGTTATGTTAAATTTGTGTTTTTATAGTACCTTATCATTGCATCTATACATGAGATATTATCTTTTCAATGCCACATTCTTACATTTTGATAAAACGTGCTCCTCAAATATTCCAAAATTCATGTGATTATCACAATACACACCTCAGATAGTTTTGGAGGTTTTTTATCCTAGAATTTTATGATTTTCAAAATCTCTTGTAAAGATATTCGAGTACACATTTCAAGTTCAATTCAGCATGTTGCCAATTGTCAACTACGGACGGATTTTACGTGTAAAAAGCTGACCTAAGGTATTTTGTAACCCAATTACGGCTTATGTTACCTTACAAATTATTATCTTATCTATTCCATTTTTGTATGATCACTTGAATCGGTGCTTTTCATCACAATGAAAAACGAAAAATTGTAAATTTTAGATTTTTTCAAACGAACTCACATTATCCAAAGATGGATTGATATTTGACCGCTAATAAGACCGAATAAAAATCTAGCAACATGGACAAAGGAAATTAAAATTTAAAAACCCATATTTCATCTTGAGCTCTCGACTTCACATACTTAGAGCCCATTTTCCTATATTTCATATGACTGCTAGTCTGTCTCAATTATAAACATGCAGCACAATTCTTGATCAAATATTCCAAAATAAAATAAGAAAATTAATTTAAAAAAATCGAAATGCACCGATTTTAGTTAGATTGAAAATGAATGTCGCTATTGGTGACGAGGCGTTGCTATTGGCGACGAGGCGTTGCAAGATAAAGCTGCACTACATTCGCTATGTAATGGAAATGTTTTACACTTGATACGAAACTCTTGTTTTATTTTCAATTTTCTCAACCGCTTGCTATTATCAAACT